CATGGTAATTGGATCTGAATTACCAACAAATGAAGTAATTCGCTCTAAAAATTTAGTATGGCGAATTACGTAATTCCAAGGGTGATTTGAGTGCGAATTACGAATAAGAGAGCGAACTACGTAATTGGCGTGCAGTGGGAAAGCCGTATTAAATATTATTGATTAAGGCTAAAAGCAATTACACTGTTCAGCTTTCACAGGCGGTTGATCAAATCAAAAGTGTACATCATTTAACTGAATGTTGAACAATGTAAACTCCTTTTAAATATAATAAATGTATACGATTATGAAATAATAATATTCTGAATGAAATTTTTGAAAGTTTCATCACTGCTATAAAACTTGAAAAGGAGGACAATGAGGACATTTTTGTTCAAAAGGAGGACAGAGAAGGACAATACTTTTGAGGAGGAAAAATCACGTTTGAGGAGAACAATCCTCCTCAAAGGCGGACGATTGGTCAGCTTATCATTACATAATGCACACCGCATCACTAACGACTATAAGGCTCAGAGAGCTGAGTATATGCAAAGAAAGAACGATGGCTCTGGCTACCGAGTTCAAAGAGTTTCACAACCCATGGCACCATTCCATCCTAACCAGGCGCAATAAGACGAAGAGATTGGGAGTAAGGAGCAAAATTTTCCGTTTTCCGTAGAGACTGAGATTTTTTGTTGTGAACAACATTTTCCCCCAGGTACTCAGAAATTGAAGAAAACAATTTGTTTTAGTCACGAAGCGGAAAATATAACTGTGTGAGGTTAAAATTTTCCTTTACTTATAATGTTGTAGAGAGTACATGGACCGCAAAACCCTACCCACTGAGTCGGATGTTTAAGTCATTTATTGATCGAAATAGCACTGGAGAAAATCAGTTTGGAAGTAACACACAGTTTCTGCCACGCTTTGATTATGACACATCATTTTACGGCCTTGGTTCATTAAAATCAGTCAACAATAAAAATACAAATAAAAACTTAAAAACTCAAAATATTTAACACAAAACAAAAAGAAGTTTGTGGAGGTATATGTATACACAACACAAATAGAATTAGGATAAGGAACGGAAACCTGCGAGTAACAGGAGTCAACATGCAACCGGAACAAAGGTAAGAACGTAATAGCACAGCGCTCCTTGGCATAAGTATTTGTTGGTAGAAATAACGTGTCGATTTAACGCGCCATAGTCGTTTGTTGCTGTTAGCCGTTTTTGCTGTCATCATCAGTATTACCATTACTATTACCTGTTACCACTACCATTACCGCGGCCATAGTTATTGCAGGTGTGCACACTTCAAGGCAGTTTACACAAGTTTCGTGCTGCCAACTGCATGGTAAAGTCCTATGCAAATACAACAATAAATCGTTTGAATACCAAAACCTTTACATCCCCACACACACACATACACACACACACACGTTCATACATATATGTAATTTTAACTAGCACAGAGTGAAGCAACACGTCGCCTCTCATCTCGCTGCACCAGCCAGCCATCAGGAACTCGCTTCACTTCGCCCCGCATCGCATTTCATTCTTTCCACGCTTGATGATACTCGTGCACCAAGGAAAAGCCGGGAGCAGACGATAGCGGACAACAATGTATGTATGTATACGTAACAATCCACAAGTGTGTGTGCAAGTCTTTGGTATAATTGCTACAGGTCTCACACCTTCGCGCCATCCTGCCAAATACCCGCTTGCTGTTCGTCGCCCACCACCTGTTTAACATCCCTCTTCCCGTTGCAACCTTTCTTCGCTACCCGGAAGCACACAGGTCGCCATTTCTATGCGCAGAAGCAGTCATTTGTCAATATTGCATGAGAACTTGCCAACTTGCCGATTTCCAATGGAGAGAGTGCAAGAGTTTCTGAGAACTGAGAATTTCTAAATACGAAGGGAAGATAAGTAATAAAAGTACAATGTGACACGAATAACCACTTGTGAGCGCAACAAAGTGTTGCTCATCGGCTACTTGTTGTGTCAGCGACTATAGCGCCAGCAGGGTGTTCGTGAGACTGCTCCGAGGGCTGCTTTAAGTCCACTCGAAAAGAGCGGTACACTGAGCAAATACTAGAAATGTTGCATGATGTTCGCGCGCCCGTGCGAAGTCGATCAGCATTAGTTCGTTTTTGGACCTTTCGTCGAGACACCTTCCTTGCCCACCTGGCATTAAAATGACGAAGCACGATTTTGATATCGTGACGGGAGCAGCGCTCATAAAAGTGATCCTTGGACACTTCGTCCTTCTTTTCCGTCGGAGCGTGGGCGCAAATTAGCGAGATAGGAAGTATTATTCGATTATTTCAATATAATTATAAAAAAAATAATAATTTGTCGAATGAATGTATGTATGTAGGAGTCAGCGAAAAATTAAAGAAGGGCGGCCCCAACGTTGGACAATAAAAAACAATTGAAATCGCCTTGCAAAAATCATTTAGACTCACTGCAAAAACGAAGAACAAGTTTTGCATGTCTTCAGGAAATAGGGGAATTTTAAGTTGTTATGCTTTTGGAGAAATAGAGTCCATTGGTTTCCATATTCAATACACCTCAAAATGTACTTCAAAATATTACTGAGCTCGAAACTTCAGCAAGGTGAAGAGTGTGGTCATAACAGACCGTATCTCCTGCGTCGGTCTCGGGGTATATCGGCAACAGCAAAGGGCTATCTCTAAGAGGTATAGAGACTTCGAGCGTTGGGCGCAAACGGTGCGCTAGCCCAGTTAAAAGAGCCCAGCCTGACCGCCGCATGGCTATCAAAATTCTAGAGCGCTACGACAGCCAGAGTGTTCATAAGTTATCTTGCAAGATGGGACGCTTGAGTGGGCCAGAACGTTGTTCGGTGAAGGTGCTGGGCGTAACTTATTTAGGAGTATCTCAACATCCTTAAATATATGTATATATATACTAGGGATGTTGCGAATGTGGAATTTTAGACATCCGCGGATGCGAATGCGGATGCGAATACGGATGTTAAATATGTATTTTAAAGAAATAATTTGGTAAGTACATTAGGTGATTTAGGTAAATAAAAAATGGAAAAGTTAGTAACTTTTAATGTTTTTTATTTAGTACTTAAATAAAAAAAGGAACATTGTATTTAAGAAAGAGTGATATTGCTCCCTTTTTGGGCTACAGCCTGTTTCTTAGCGGGTCGTTAATCAAACCTGCGCCATTAAATAACTACTCGCCCTTGGCGACAAACTTGAAAAACTTGACAAAATAGTAAATTCTTTTCGATTGGCGCTGCACCAGTTGAGAGCACTTTCAGTTATATTTCTTTTTTTATTGCGGTGCAATAATTCCTTTTTGATTGATTTCGGATGTATCTGCCCGAAAACCTAGTTATTTTGTTAAAAAAGTACCACGTTTTTTATAATAATTTGAATTATTGGAATCACGGACGATAAAGGTCTCCGTTCTGCTTAGTTCCCGGGTGACTTCTTGAAAGGGTTCACCTGTAATGAACAGCTTGTAATTCGTTTTGTTGTATTAGTTAGCTGAGCTCGGCTTTTCCTAGTTGCAGGCAGTCACAATTAATTACTTACCGCTGTCGGTACCATAAGCCAACAAATCCGTTTTGTTGTTCCATTCCAAGCACTGAATGTGTTTTGATATTTTGAGGCGAATGAACGCAAAATTTTGTACATATCTTTGTACTATATTATAAGGGCGTGTTTCACATTGTCGCTGAAATGCTAAAAACCACAACTAACTACATCCTTTTTTATTGCCTAAAACGATGTGGGGACTTATGATTCGATGAAATGCACCATAATCAATCAAAAAGTGAATTTTAGATTTTTGGTTAGTTAGGGGTTTTTTGTATTTCAGCGACGATGTACTATACTAATGATATATGAGGAGGCTCAATAGATATAAAATTCATCTTGAACTAATGCTTATTTGATTTGTGAACTTGGCTGTCAACTTATTCACATAACATTTTACCTTTATTTCGATGCGTGCTAATTTTGACAATTTACACAAAATTTAAATAAATGTTGTTGTTTTCGAGCTGAAAGACTAATAAAAGGAAATACGGGAACATAAGCATAATTTGTTTTATAAGAAAAAAATTACACTTTTCTAAGAAAAAGGAGAAAAAAAAACTAGCGATGCATTCAGTTTTTTCAGCAGACCCTTGACATATACATTCCGTTGTAAATACCGACTATTATCTTATTCTCTGACTTTAAATTACGAAAGAAGGGGGACGTAGGGGGACAGTCTTAACGTAGCATCTCCACAGGCAAAAAATGTTGGCTACAACTTTTTTTTTGCCAGATATACGTTTTATCAGTGCACTTGCACAGTAATCGCATTCGCAAAAGCTCGGAAGTTCCTCGGTTGCGAATGCGAATATTCGCAACAACCCTGGTATATACACACCTACAGTAGCATAGGCAATATGCGAAGCAAAAAAAATTGTATCACTAATGAGAAAAAATTTAACTTAAAACCTTTCAAGCAGGTGGAGAGTTAACCGAGCGGTATGCACTTAAAATTGTTTGCAGTGTATTTCAACGAGAAACCCTAGTGTATTTGTCAACACCATTTGCCGCCATTTAATCACCTATCAAAAAAGAAAACCACCGCCACCGATTCACAGCAGGGAGAAAAACCTAATGCTACCATTATAAATTACGGTAAGCATGTACAAACGTGCACATGGACAACTATATAAGCGCATGTGGAACACTTTTAAATTTCGCTCCGCGTGTGAGAGCAATGCCGAAAGCTATAATTTTACATGTTGCTCCTTTAGAGTGTTGCAAGAACCACAAATAACGTTTGCTCACAAATTCCAACTCGAAGTCCAATGGCTACAAGTACAAATTTTATGCAAATTGAGTACGCTCTGAGAGAAAAAAGAGCGCTTCTTGCGCCCAGTAGTAGGCAATGAATTGCCGAAGGAATAATTCGAATGTTTTTGGTTTCGAGTTTGGCGAACGTTAGCGACTTTTTGTCGCACCAGTAGAAGGGAGTGGTACGTCAAAATCTGACGCACATCAGCAGTGTATTGTGCGCTACAGGAAAAAATATTATTATTCAACTTTTACATTTTTTTTCTTCATTGTCTAATTTTTGTGAACTCTAATCAACTGTGAACTGAACTTAACTCAAAAACTAAGCTGAACTCTTTTCGCCTCAAATTAACTATCAACTCTATCTTCTATTGGAGCTCTATGCGAAACGCGATTATACTGTATTTGGAAAGTAGAACTACTGATTTTGATCCTGACCTGCGAGCACCTGCAAAAATCGTTAAGTTACATGATGATAAACTCTTCTGCATCGTCCCAATTCCCCTCTATTCTTCTTTCGAAAACTTTTTGCTACTATAATCCACTCTAAATCGATCATTTATGTACATATATGATTCAAAGTAATTGCGTGTAGAAAAAAGTAAGTGGTATAGACTTTCAGTTATTTTGCTGTTGCTATCCGACCAATTTACGGATTTTTCGCTGAAGAAACACAAAAGTGACGTGAAGAAAAAGCACAGCAAACAAAATATTAACAATTGTGAAAAATGCAAAAAGAGAGTGGAAAGCTATAGAACTAAAGGTGCAAGCGGATGAAAGAGAAAGTCTGAAAACGAAGGACAAAAAGCCAAAATGAAAATGAAAAATAAGTAAATATAGAGAAGACGTGGGATAAGTTGCTCGTTAGTGGTGGCAATTGTGATGTAGTTGTTTGATTCTCAAACTAAAATCGGCGGTCAACAATTCGATGGAAGCAAGACCAAAGTGAGTAACATTTCAAAATTATTCTAAATGGAAATAAGTGGAGCAAGGCACTATATGTTTCACTTAGCGATTACTTAATACTTCTGTTATTGTTGTTGTGTGCTATAGTTTTTTTTTTTTTTGTATCTTTTGAGAATTTCTCGATTTGGGTGTATATGTGCGTTCCTGTTGCCGCAATTTAGGCGCAACACCGCGGGCAAATCGTTGAGAGAAGTCAGGGAATCTCTTTGAGAAAGAAAGAATTCGTAACTGCTCGCCACACGAAGGCGGTAGCACGGCATTGCCATTCATTTTTAGCAGGTTTGGCAGTAAGCCAACTACTATCGAAACGATGTTGGAGTGTACGAAAATCTAAAGTGACAAGAAATCGTATAAAATTTCAACTATTTTTGTAATTTTTCTCTAATAAATATCAAGAAATTGTAGCTTTCCAAAAATATACGTATGAAATATTAAAACCCAGTAATTAAATTGAAGTCCGAGTTGGTGTAAAATACCGAAAAAGACACAAACATCCGCATTGCAAGGCTACAAAGCTAACAATTAATCATTCGTGCTAGGCAGCTTAAAAACTATGTGTGAACGTGTGTATATACATATTTACTTAAAAAGGATATAATTATTTGAAAAGGCTTCGAGGGCAAGCAATGATTTCAATATTTCGTGTTGCCAAGCAGCAATTGCTTTGTATAAATATTAAACAGCGCTTTTAGAAGAAATTTACAAGTGTATATGTGGGTGTACATATGCGATTGAATATGTACGCACGTACATACATATATGTATATGTGTCTATATGAGTAATATAATCATTGCTATGCTAAGATTGGTTGGACATTTGGAACAACACGCGATATATTTTTCATACAAACATATGTAGCTATGCATTTACATATATACACTTTTCTTCCAAACCACTTTGAGGTAAAATACCGCTCTGTTGCTTTGCTCTCGCCGCACAACCACCTGAAGAGTAATGACGAAAGTTGTTGGCTTCACACGTAGCCCAAATGTTTTCAGCTAATACGCATATATAGTATGCATACTCGTATCTACATACATATGTACATTTGTGCAAATGAATGAAGTAAAATCTACAAATGTCGATGCCTAGTTACAAGTAAAACACTAAAAAATTAACAATCGAATCGCTTACGTACATATGTAGTTAGATTAACTAGAACGCAAACCTGGAACAGGTATTTATTAAATGTAGATACAGTATCGGTCATATAAATAGCGTCCCATTTCAGAGTGATATTGTTTGCCACCAATGTTTATTTATTTATTTTTAAGTATTTTTTATTTAAAAAAATTCATTCTCATAATAAACCCATATTAAAAGTTTAAAACTTTACAAAACATTAAAAATTCATATTTAAAATTTTCTTCTCAGAAGTGTTAGAATTTTTTGGAGTATACAGTTTTAGTGCGATAATGTGTAATTTTCAAGTGGCAAAAAATTACCGCGGATTTTTTTTAATTTTTTTCTTGCCCAAGTTGTCCTGGTTTTCTTCCATATAAAAATAAATTATGTGCATTCGTTATATGAATGCGATAAAAAAAAAAATCAACCAACACCGACACAAAAAAAATATGAAAAAAGTAACGGTAATTAATAGCCACCTGAAACTTGCACATTATTAAACTAAAATTACGTGAAATATAAAATTTTATACTAAAAAAAATCTAGCATTTCTGAGAAAAAAGTTTGAAATACGGATGAAAACTTGTTGAACTCTAATATATAAAAATGTCATGTCACGGCCTATCTTTATAAAAATTGTTGTGTATATATGGTTGGTATGACAATCGGATGTAAAGCATATTTCATACCGCTAGGCATATATGTAATACTCCTATATTTGCAGTAAGAGCTAGTACCGTCCGAAAACACTACAGTACAGATATATCAACGTAAACACGTACGAAAGAAAAGGAACACATACGTTTATAAATAAACATGTACCCGACACATTTACAAAAACGGCACTCAAGTACACAATACATTGACAAAATGGAATTTCTCCGGAAATGTTCATGGTAGAGTACTCAAACATGGTATGGAGATATAAGAAATCAGTCAGTCACATACTCTTAGAGGAAATTTCGGCAATTTGAATAGGGGCGTGGTGCCTTTCAAACGCACTGAATCTATTACGTATCTTTGTATGCATATACACTTTTGCTAGGTTATTTAAGACGGCAATGGAAATATGCCTTCCACACAACCACCAAACCGTAATATTAGAAGATAAATGCGTCACTGAAAATCATGAACGTGAACTCTTGGTGCAAATGTTGGACCAAAATTCTTCAATACAAAAAAATTATTTTGGGCGGGATGAAGTTCGCCGGGTCTGCTAGTTTTCTATAAAGTTTTAAACTTGGGTTTATGTATTCTTAAAAATAAATAAATAATAGTACTTACAAACAATATCACTTTGCAATAGCATGCGACTGATATGACCGATACTGTATGTAGGCGTTTTTGTAAATATCTTATATACATAAGTAAATGTGTAAGTATGCATGTAGCCGAATGATTCGACACACGTGTATTGTATTAAATATAGTATATATTTTGACACACGAAAGCAGCCGGAACTTGTAGCTTCACTCGTCAACTAAATTGCTTACATACATACATACGTATCCATATGTGTATTTATATAATACATACATGTATGTATATAAAACAACTACAAATATGAGATCGAATCACGAGAATTTCTTTAATTAAATAGCTTCTTGGCATTTTCTTGACGAATGTATGTCATAACCAGGGCTATAAAATACGCATAAAAACACTGATTTTAAGCGCTTTAAAAAGCTCGATAAGTAAACAAAATATGCTCTTAAATATACGAGATCCTCGCTAAGTTTTGTGAGAAAGTTCGTCATAGTTTTGCTAAAACACCCTCTCCCTTGGTCAAAAGACAATAGTCTTTCGTAAGGCAATTGTCATTGCTGATTTTTATGCTGCAAGATTAAGTGAAATTAAAAAAAAAAATACAGTGAATCAAACAAGTGATCACGTGCCTATTTTTTTTAAATATGCATCATGTTTTTCGAGTTAAGTTTTTTTGCTATTTTTCTAAAAAAAAATTTTGCCAAACTAATTTGCCTAATATTGCCTTTAACCTAAACAATATAAAATTTATTTTGAAAATCATTACGAATATTAAAAAAAATCAGCATTTCGTCAATCGTTTGAGTCACTGTATATTTTAAACAATAAAAACTAATAAATAAAAGAATATTAAATTTAAAAATAAAATTAAAAGAGTTTTATTATTTAAATAAATGAAATAATAAATAAATAAATAATAAATTAAATAAAAAAATTTTAATTAAAATACCGAATAAGTTCCTAGGTTAGATGGCTTCCCCTTGAAGGGGGTTCACTTAGACCGTGAAAATTGGCCCTTTGTGATACCACTGCGAATGGTAACTGCTAAGTTAGAGTGAGAATCACTGAGTGCCGAGAACGAAGTTTCGCAAGAGGCCAATATTAATCACGGAGAGCTGCTCCGGACTTGTCAGAGAGCATGAATAGCGATAGAGGGGGTCCGATAAGATATTTGATCTCACTGCATGAACCCCAATAGGACATTGTCCTGTCAGTACACCCACTAGAATCGAGAGATCCCTTGACCGTGTCCGGTCCACCCTCCCAAGAGTAGTCCACAAGTGGTCAGGGGAACTCCCACAATCTCTCTTCTTGGCGATAATTCCTCAAATTGATTCGGAATTATCTTCACTAGGAAATACCCCGCGTGTTACGCTGCGCGGAAAGTGCTTCAGAAATCAATCGAAAATTTATTTGAAAATCTCACTTCATATTTTTATAAATGAGACTATAAGAGTTTTTGTTGGGAGTAAGGACACAAAAATACTTCTAAGACACAGCCAAGCACGCAAGGTATTTTCTAAATAGTCAAAAATACGAAAAGTACTTTAATGTGCATGTTCATTTGTAGGTTCAGTGAAATATTATAATATTGGTATCAAACAAAAGCGATTTGAACAACCCGTAGATATTTCTGGACAGAGTTGCTACCTATCAAAAAATTAAAAAATTAAAATGAGTTCAATATGTGATTTTTGTGAAATATTGGTACCTAATGAAAGAATAATAAGAATGCTTATCGCTGAACTTGTTCTCTAGAAAAATGTTTTTCCCGGACTGCTATCACTCACAGCCTTATTATCTATCTGGAACGATAGGTCGCACCAACAACATTCAATGTAACCGAGACGAGCTCAATTCACACAAAGACGAACGATAGAGTTACAAAACTTCAAGGAGAAACGATGACGTCTGCAGACAAATTGTTCGTGCGGCCTATCGTTCGAGATATATAGATAAAAAAGTAAGTGCGCCTGGGCCATACTGGAGTAGTGAAACTTACGTTACATACATATCTATTTTGTCTCATAACCAATATACATACAGACATATGTACATACATACATACATCTGCTTTTGCTTAAGGTTATATTCTTAGTCTTTTTTCTATCCAGATCCCTACCTCTACCGCTGTTCGTTCTAATTACATTTTTGTTATTCTGTTTTCCTTTATCTTAATTTTTATCTTTATACTATAGCGATAACAAAATCGATAGTAACATCCAATAAAATATCGATAACAAAACCGATAAAAATATCGATAACAAAATCAATGAAAAATTCGATAAAAATTTCGATAGCAAAATCGATAATAATATTGGTAGCAAAATTTATTAGATACTCGATAAAAATATTCATAACAAAATCGATAAAAATATCCATAACAAAATCTTTAAACATGGATAGCAAAATCGATAGAAATCGATAACAAAATCAATAAATATCGATAACAAAATCGATAAATAGCGATAACAAAGTTGATAAATATCGATAAATAGCGATAACAAAATCGATAAAAAAAAATCAAAAAATATCGATAACCAAATCGATAAAAATAACGATAACAAAATCTATAAAAAATATCTCTAATTAAATTAAAGTTAGTAGATGAAAACATCGATTACAAAATCGATAACAAATCTATAAAAATATCGATAACAAAATTGATAAAAAATATCGACTAATATATCGATAGGTTCCGAAAATATCGATAGCAAAATTGTTAATATCGATAAAAATTTCGACAAAAAATCGATAAAATATCGATAACAAAACAGATAAAAATATCGATTATTTTATCGGTAGGTCCCGAGTATACCGAAAATCTTTAAAATCCCAAAATAGTTCCCAGATTGAGTCTCTGTGTCTCTATCTATATCCTTTTCTCTATAATTACCTTTATTTTAATCTTTCTTCCCCTACCTTCATCTTTACTTTTATCGGTATCCTCATCCTCCTCTTTGTCTTTACTTTGATGTTTATCATTTTCTTCATCTACATATTCCCCTTCACCTTTGCCCTTATATATATAAGTAACGTGTTTAAATTTACCTTTGTCTTCATTTTTGCCTTTATCTTTACGCACATTTGTTTTTGTTTTTAACTTTTAACGTTGTTTGCCTTTATCCCTTTTTTATCTATGTACGTAGTCACCTTTACTTATTGTATTGGTCTTTTTCTAAGTGTTATTCTTTAATCTTTTATTAGCAAATTTTTGTTAAATTAATACCATATGCATACACACAAGAAGCACTTGTTTCAGCCCCAACCAGTTCCGTTGCACCATTTCCGTTGTATCACTTCCGTTGCACCATTTCCGTGTGCAATTTCCTTTGAATTTGGCAATTTACTACCAACCAACCAACCGCCGCTTAAGAAGTTTCACTTCAATAAGGCTGTTAATCTTCTGTTGAATACATGACTTTGCCATTAAAAGGCTGAGGAATAATGTCATCTACAGGAAAGCCCACTTACACCCATAACACCAAATAGTTTTTAGTTTAATTTTAAACGCTTAGAAATCTACTTCTCTTGCTGCCAACCTAAGTCGCTGATCGCTCATTTTCAAGCTATCCGCGTTGTTTGTATTATGAACAGTAACAGGCGATTCTGTTTGATACCGAACCACCCGGTAACCGGAAAATTGTGTTACCAAAAAAAATTACACCACTTCTTCTAATCACAATTCTAGGTACCTTGGAACCGTTTTGATTTATTCAGCTATAAAGTTTTGTAGAAATTTTGGTGTGGCATATTACACAGAGCAATATTTTGTTACCTGCCTATGAGCTGGTAACAAAATTTACCGGCCACAAGAGCGCGCAGAATACGAAACCATAAAAAAATGGCAGGAACTCTACTTACCGGTAACAACATATTTTTGACCAATGCAAAACAGGCCGGTAAATAGCCAAGACGAAAGGCATCGAGTAACAAAACTGTTCACCCCGTTATTAACTAAAACCAGGAATTTTTTGAATGCAGCTGCAAAGTGCTGCCATTTTATAGACCAGTAAGTAAGTAATTTTAGGCAGCAAAGGGTCTGTTGGGACTGCTAGTCCTGTATATTTTTGTAAGCAAATACTCTTATATTTTCCGATACATCTTTTCAAAAGCCAACAAGAATTAAAAAAAAAAAATCAATTTCAGGATACTGTACCATCACCGCACTTACCTACCAGCGTATAAATTTAAAAATCACTTTTTACACCGCCCACTGGTTCTGCCATAAAAGAGAGATAACTATGGGCAAACACTTTTAATATAAAATGGACAACAAGCAATATTAATAAAGCAAGAAAACAACGACAAAAATTTAACGTGAAAATTATGTCAACGATACAACGAAGCAATACTCAACTGTGAGCGAAAAGGAAAATTTTAAAAATTTAGATATAGCAAAAAAATTAAAGCATCAAAGGCGTTAAAAACGTTTGAAAATTATGAATTAACTTTACTCAAAAAATAATAATTAAAATTTGGCTACGACGAGTTATACGCGCGCAAGTAGATAACAGAATAGTTTGATTCTTTTAATGTGCAGAAGTGAGTTACGGCCCCATTTGAAGGTTCTAAGGCAAACGTTTCCCACAAAATGTCTGTCGAATGCATGCGACCTTCGAGTAATAAAATCATCATCACGCCTGGGGCCACACTCAGCTACACCAAAAATTCATCGGCGCGACCACGATCAACAAGTCGGCAATTGTCGTCGGCTGTGAGGGCCCAGCATCCAGCAGTGAACGCAGCGGGCAAGGGAAAGTCTGTGATGCCCCAAAAAATACCAACAACGCCTCCAAAGCAGCAATCAAGTATTTTGGTGGTAAGAAAAACTGGTGTAACGCAACCCTCACCAGTGTCAGCATTGCACACAACCGCTAAGGTAGCACCACTGGCACCCTTGTCGCAGAATACATGTAAACGCAGCAACTGGGACAATATCACAGATGGAGGTAGCAAAAAACATATAAATGGCACTATTAGCGTTGATCGCATCGATTTGGAATTGGAGGGAGCAGCAAGTGATTTGGAATTCTGCAAACGCCTCGAGTGGTCGGCCGCCCAATCTTTGGTCGAAATGAATGCAAAAGAGAAGCAAAGACGTAGTGCCGCCGCAGCACAATCGGCTACAGATAAAAAACCGTTGACACCAATGGCGGTCCGAGAAGCAGGAGCAGTGGTCACATCACTTTCTGGAACTGTGTTGAGTGATTTGAATTCACAAGATAACGAAGGTAAGCGTAATTTTATGTCTCATAACGTATATTATTATTTTCATTATATTCATATGTGCATATATATGTATATACATATGTACATACAATACAAACACACATAAATAAGCAATTTGCGAACTAATCCCCCCAATAGAAATATGTGCTTCCCCAAGAAAATCATGAAGCATTTTATAACTCCCACCAAAATATTTGTCTCAGTTTAGATAAATGCGCCGGATGGGCGGCATTAAGACTCCGGAGTGTCTGGAGTGGGGAATGTTCGGTCTATTCGACGGATGCAGTTATGTACATACATACATATCTATATAAATAAATTTTTAGATAACTATGTGTATTAGGGTGCCCATCGAAAAAAAAATTAGAAGTTTCAAGACCCTACCCCCTTGTTCCTTTTTATCAGAAATATTATTTCCTATTTTTATAGATTTATTTTTTAAATCATTTAGAGGTCGCAACTTGTCATTTTAGGTCAGAAAGTACGGTTTTGTAGATTTATCAGTTTTTGAATGACTAGTTTTCATTCAATTTTAAAGATCGAACATGTTGTGAGAAGAGAATTTATAGGCCTTTAAAATGATGTTTAGAGAGCTTTTGTCACACTTGGATTATCGGGATTTTTCATTGGGCAAACCAAAAAACAAAAACATTCTTTCGTACTTTTTTAAGTTTTGACCATCACTTATTTCCACAATTTTTAAATATGTAGTACTATCTGAAATTAAATCTATTTTCAAATAAACTGACACCCATTTATTGCAATCGCATAAAACCTGTCGAAGTTAGGCAACTTTTCCTTAATACGGCCTTGAGTTTATACGGCGTATGTACCGTACTTTCAGATTATTTGAGCAGTGTGGCTAAGGAAATCATCAATATTTATTGTAAATTGATATATACAATCGTTGTTAGCAAACAATGGGTTTTTAAACATTTTTTATGAAAATGGGGGTGGCATCGCCTTGACCGATCTCGACCAAATTTAGTATACACGTTTCGCTTGGGCTTCTTAAGGGCCATATTGAACATTTTTGAAATCGGACAAAAACCACAGGCCTCACCAGCGTAACGGTAATTTCAGAAAACTCAAAGCTAGCTATCCCAGAAAAACGTTTAACTTTTTGAAAATTGTCTTGAGGCGACTTGTATTGCATTGCTCCATAGATACAAAAATAAGTCCTTCCCAAAAAATGAAAAGTTTTTGCTGGGATATTTTAGGGGGAGTAGGTTTTGCCCGAAATCAAAAATATTCAAGACGGTGCCTGGTCAAGTAGTTTTTGAGATACGCATATATCATACAAGTAGGCGGTGCCACCCCCATTTTCCTAAAATTTCTTGAACCACTTTTTTGCTAAAGAGCGATTGCATATATCAATTTTGAATAAATATTAATGAATTGCTTAGACACACTGCTCAAAAAATCTGAAAGGCCGGTACATACGCAATAAAAATTCAAAAGAAAAATTCGATGGGCACCCTAATGTGAATTTACATACATACGGCCATGCATACGAAGTTAAAGAAAGTCCATATTTTTAATTTAGCATTGGAGTTTTGTTGAAAAACGTTAAATTGCAACCACTACATTTTCCTGGTTATGTTGCAGAAACTGTTCTAATAAAATGTGTTTTAATAGCGACTCTGAAATTTTAACATTTTCAAAATCCTTTTAATCCATAAGCACTTTAACTTTTAATTGCTTTCAAATATGTACATAGTACTTCGGAGCATTTGCAATTATGGCCAATTTCAAAATGTATGGTAGTTACCATAAAAATAAGCTTGACCAAATGAATGTGAACGTTCACACTTTGGAGCGTACGGGTGAGCAGTTTTTTCTTCTAATAGACCATTTAAGGACTTAATTCGCATATGTATGTAAAAGTTTTAATTCCAAATATGCAATGCAATTACCGTTGAGCATTAAAACGTTCCAACAACAATCCAAATATAATATGTGTATGTATGTGTACATCTTGCTAGATTATAGTAGCAATTTCCTAAGTCAAATTTTTCAAATTTGTAAAAGAGAATAAAAATCTTTCCAACTAATTTTCTTCAACCATTTATTTTGCAAAAATTCAAATACAAGACTTCTCACATTCTAAGCTAAAACCACACCAAATGTATAAAATTCCATGATGTTGATGAAAAGTTTTTGTATTCTTTCCGTATAACTGAATAGAAGTGATTTTAAATAAAATATGTACGTAGGTAGTTAAATATTTAGAAAACAATGTATTTTCAATTGTTCCCACTTCTTGCATCAGAATATAATTTCTTAGGAAAAGTGGACTTAGCAATATCTGGAATCTCCGGTTAAATATAGTTATCGACGTTACCGACGTTACCCTGTTGTCTGTATGGAGTCGAAGACGTCGATAACGATGTTTAACCGCAGATTAGTGTTAACCAGACATTGAGTAACCGGCTTTAAAAGAGTTCTTACACGATATGTATTTCCATCTGTAAATGTGACTGTTTCGATACATACATATGTAATTGCCTCTGTCTGTCAAGTTCAAAGTTTTTGATTAACTGTTCAAAATCAACAAAAACGAAATAAAATAAACACAGATGATTCTATCTGCATGTCAGATGAAAATAGAAACCTTCTATTTCGTATGCACGTGCAACTGATATGTAATGAAATTAATCTAATATGCCTTTACACGATATGTTGTCATTTCCATATGCAAAAAGTGGCATGTACGAGTAGGTTGTCTGCTTACAATGTGCATTACAATTTAGAAACGAATACGTATTGTAATGAACGCCCGAAGAGTATTCGGTCACATCACCACCAGTGCTGCCGCGCCGTCTCAAGAAAATGTACCCCTGACCAACCCAAAAATGTATCCAAGTGTATCCAATTTTTTTTGTTACATATACATCTCATAATTTGTAAGAAAACCAAACATTTTCATGAAAAAGACATAATTTAACCCATCCTAAGGACTTGGAATACATGTGCATAAAATCAAGCATTTGTAATTTCAATTTATAAAGTACATTTTTTGTGCATAAGTATTTTGCAAAGTAAATATAATAAGTAGCAAATACACTCTAAAAAGAGCATGTAAAACTACTACTGAAAAGTATCTATTTTTCAACAAGAATCTGTATAAATATACGTATAAGATGTTCAGTATTTGATTTTGAACTTGGGATCTTTAAAACATACACATAAATACACATATATAGAATGTTTAAAATTGCAAAAATTTTCAAACTACAAATACATTTGAGTAGCCTACTTGCAAAGTGCGCTGTGTAAAATTTTTTCGATTCTTAGTTTTTGGCGGATTACGTACCAGTATTTAAAGTAGTTTCATGTCCACTAACAACAGAGTGCAAAATCTTTTTATATTCTGAAAAAAATAGCATCAAATGTTAAGTCTTCTTCCAAAAGTCGCTATCATACTTATTTATGAACTTTCAAAAGTATCAATCTTCTGATGAACTTAGAAAGCTTAGAAAGGTCGTATAGACTTTTAATGTTATCTTATGACATGTTATGTTATGTTACAAATTTTATAAGGCTCCAATTTATCCAAATTTTCAGGTAATAATAAAAAAGATTCAATTTAAATGTTACTTGTTGTTGTAGTCACTTTTTCAAATTTATGGCTTTCTATTATAAAATCACATAACGCTGTTTGCAAGTGGACTACTCATTTCCTACTAATAATAAACATTACCTTATTTAAACATTTTATGTGTAATTTTGCACTTGCGACAAATTTGGTATGTAAGAATAAACAGGCAATGATTAATTTTATTACACGGCGTGCGAATTTGCACACATTAAAAGAGGAAACTGGTTACCTCTCTTAATATGCGCAAATAAATACAATTTTTTTAGTGTATTTAAAGTCTTTTCAGTAAAATTCATAAAAGTCTCCTTAAATAAATCAAATTTAGTTTTTTGAACTGCATTGAAATACTCTTTCTTTTTAAATTAACAAATGAAAATATGTGATATGAAAGATATTACTACAGAAAGAGTATAATTTACTTTATATATGTATATCGTCGTTTAATGTACAAAACCGCGTATCGTCATTCTGCAAAACCGCGTAACTGACATTTGCTGCCAAAAATAGGATTTGCTCACACAAGCTCAATCCTTATCCATTCGCCCTGAAATATACTAGCCAGAAATGCGAAGAAAATAATTTATGCAACGGCACATACGCGGTTTTGCATTTTGTTGATACGCGGTTTTGTACTTTAAACGACGATATGTATATATATTAAGATCTTGCTTAAAGCATCCTTTTAAGATAATTAAAGCAATTGCGCTTATACCTATTTTGGTGAGATCTCTTCATATGTTCATTGCTTCGTTCACAAAAAATAAAATGCTTTAATTTCACGCTTAATAGCGATTCTTTATACGTTCAGAAAACGTAATACTTTCTACTATCTTTAACGAAAATCGATTTTTGAACGAAAAAAACTTTATAGGAAATATAAAATTTTGGCCTATTTAAAAAAGTATCCACATTTATACTCACCGGAAAAAATAAGTATCCCGCAAAAATTCGCCTAAAAATGTATCCAATTGGATCTTTTTAGATCCAAACGGCATCCCTGATCACCACCCTGGCATTGACGTCGCCAAGCAGGATTTTAATATCATGGCGGGGGCAGCGCTCGTATGTGCGCTTCAAGCGCTCATAGAAAAGATGCTTGGACGCCACGCTCTTCTCTTCCGTAGGTTCATGGGCACAGATTAGCGACATGTTGAAGAAGCTTGCTTTGATGCGGATTTGCGGTTAGACGCTCTCTCCCACCACAAATCCCACACTTGATTCGCGCTCCTTAACATGGCAGCTGTAATAGACGTCGCAAGGCCCACGACACAACGACTATGCCCGATTTCACTTCTCATTTATACATAATTTAAAATCCCCTCCGCCTAAATTCGAAAGCTGACTTTGAGAAAATGTCGGCGTTGGGGATTGATCCGGTCTAACATACATATATTACTATTC